TGTAAGAAAGAGGCAGGTTTATAAGTGGACTAAATGATTGGAGAATTGGTGAATGTCCATTTCATGCTGACTTTATGTAAGACAAAAAATAGACAAAAAAAAACAGACTACAGAAGAAAGAAAGTTATCAATGTTTGGAATGACAGGAGAATGAGTAATTGATGACAGAATTTTTCAGTTTTTGGCTAAACTATCTATTTAAAGCTACACAAAGTACTCCAGCAATTCAAAGTGGTGTGAGAACGGAAGCATCAGTCTGACTTGAAGCTGCTTTTCAAAACATCTGGTTACTTTATAGGGACTTGCAACTTGCAAAATACTTGTTTACATTGGATTCCTCTGTGTGCCTCTCCACATATCCTCTGTTATTCTTAGCACTGCATCATTTTACACTAGAGTTCTCACAGCTTCACATCCATACTGAAGAACAATGGACATGCAGAAGTAATCCAGTTAAAAAGATGCCCATTTATTTAGCTCTGTTCAGGAAGTTTCTTCCTTTTCTTATGTTTGTGTGCATCTACACAACATTTAGCTGTAAGGGAACATCGCTCACAATGAGACTCCTTTGTGTCTGTGTACAGTTTCCTCTCAAGTAATGTCTAAAAGCATGCACTTGTTGCCTGAGATAACTGTCCCATGTTAGACTTTGATGACTGACTGTCATTTGCACTAGTGTGTAATCTCAGCAGGCTAAGCGCATGATTACGAAAAGTCTTGTCCAGCAGGAAGTACATGATGGGGTCTGTGCTACATCGCAGAGTTGCTAAACAGAGCAGGATGCTCTTCACCTCCACGTACATGGACAGTGGATGGCAAGCGTCTTTTGGAGGTGATGCAGACCAAGACAGCTCGTTGACGATATGAACAAAGATGGCTTTGTAGATGTGGTGCGGCAGGAGTAAGACCACCAGCACCACCATAATGACAACAATATTCCGAAACACTCTTGCGTAGACTCGCTGGCTGTCTGAGATGACCGCGCTTCTCCTGGACCTCCAAATGTGCCTGATCACTGCCATGTAAGCGCTTATGACCAACAGGAAGAAGACAAAGAACAGTGAAACGGCCACTAAAGCGAAGACATGAGATCCTTTCCCGCCAACCTCCACTGCTATGCTGTAACACGCTTCATCTCCGTCGCCGTCATCCACACTCCTAGCCTCCCTGATCGAGTACAGCACCACAAAGGATGTGACCGCTATGGTTACAATGGCCCAGGTGGCCATGCACAGCGCATAGGCCAGTTTCGCTTGTCGTTTTCGGCAGAGAAAGGCACCTGGTAGAACTTTGAGCCATCGGCTTGGACGGTCAGCATGGGAGTGTTGAATCAGCGAGGCGAAGCGACTGAGTGCCACCCAGCTCAATATCATCACACCAATGCAGATGTTGATGTGGATCACTGGAGTTAGACCATTTATTGCCATTTGGCACATGGTGTCGTGGTGGCGCCATTTGGTCCCTAGTGAGTAGTATGTGGCCTGGAATGGCATGGTGAGGCAGAGCAGCAAGTTTGAGATCCCTAGATTTATCAGGTAGATGTGAGTGGACGTTTTGATGGCAATTTTGCGTATGAACACCCAGAGCGAAATAGCATTCCCAGGCAGGCCAGTGATAGACATAATGGTGTAGATAATGGGCAGAACTACACTTGTAGTGGACGTTTGGCAGAGGTGAGATTCAGCATGTGAATCGTTTGCCATTGAGCTCTCAGAAAAAGAGATTCCCATTAGCTGAGGGAAGAAAAAATTTAAAAGGTTATATTATTGTTAAAAATTGGTTAAGGACACTATAAGATTTTACTTAAAACTAAGGGTTTACTGTTAGTACACACAGTGAGTGGAAATGACATTCTAATGAAAACCTGAGCTTTCTTTCTCCTTTATTTACAGAAGTAACTTTGGATATCGCTTGCATTCCTGTAAATAGTTTAACCCAATTGCAGAAGCTGATATACCACTTTCACAATAAGTCAGCTTTTTTTTTTTTTTAAACGTAGGTGATATTTTACGTTTAACACAAATAACATTTATTTAAAAAAGAAAAATATATAGCTATATATAATGTTGTCAGATATTGTGTAGTCATTACTACATAGTTTTCAGCAGTAAAGTGTGCATGGGTTTTTACAGCATTTCACAGCAACCACATCAGCAAAACAGCAAAAAAAAAATAGGTGTTGCATACATTTACATTTATATTTAGTCATTTAGCAGACGCTTTTATCCAAAGCGACTTACAAATGAGGACAATAAAAGCAGTCAAACTAACAAAAGAGCAACAATATATAAGTGCAAATGACAAGTCTATATATATATATAGTATGTGACCCAGGACCACAAAACCAGTTAGGATAGGACAATGTTTGGCTGAGATACAACTATTTGAAAATCTGGAATCTGAGGGTGCAAAAAAATCAAAATACTGAGAAAATCGCCTTTAAAGTTGTCCAAATGAAGTTCTTAGTAATGCATATTTCTAATCAAAAATTTAGTTTTGATAAATGTATGGTAGGAAATTTACAAAATATCTTCATGGAACGTGATCTTTACTTAATATCCTAATGATTTTTGGCATAAAGAAAATCCATAAATCCATTTGACCCATACAATGTTTTTTTGGGTCACACACGTGTATATACATGACTAACTTGTTTAGCAATATCAGAATAAGAATATAATGCCTAATATAGGCAATGTAATACACTTACCTCTCTAAATGCAGTCACTGATGTGTGTAACGGGCATCTGTAAATTGTTTTGCTTTGGGTCACCTCCCTAGACTGGCTGTCTTAACGGAAGTGACGGTCTGAGCATGAGTGATGTTCACTTAGTTCTCTTTTACAAGGTTCCTTTCACAGAAGCACTTGCCTTTGATAGCAGAACTGCTGTGAGACTGTAAACGGTGCTTTTTGTTATTTAACCATTATTTCACAAAGTAGCTTAAACTCATGTTTATGGAATTGGTCAAATAATTGGCACATGCAGGAAAACAGATATTTTTTGGACAAGACATTTGAGTATCATCTGGACTTTTTGTAAAGCTTGTAGTTGCCTTTTAAGAAAGATTTTTATCTGTCATATATCTGCTATTGTATGTTTTTATCCGAAGACGAGCTGTTTTGTAAACTGGTCTGTCCCGACTTTATTGCAGGGATACCTGTCAAGGATTTTAATGGTCTCCTCATGAACTCTTGTGGTGGGATGGACACATTGCAGTTGAAGTACTATACAAAACAAATGCTAGAATCAAGCTGACAACTTATATTGATACATTTTATGAATGCAATTTTCTTTTAAGAAGTATCATTTGTTTTAGCACACAACAATACCTGAATGTGGATTAAATAGCTGTTTTTTCCCCCTTATATGTTATATTGTGTTTTTTTTGCAAAACAAACATTAATTGCAACTCTGGGTGGTTATGAGTTAACATGTCAGTGACATTGAAAACAAAACAACAACAACAAAAGAAAAAAAATCTGCGTAGGAGTAATCTGAGTAACAGGACAGCAACTGTAATGCACCAAGACATTCAGTGGATTAACCCCATCACAGAGTAAATGTAAATGATTCCCAGATACTCAAAAAGACATGCTCTTTCTGTTCCTTAATAAAACAAATGCTAAATCTTTCCCAAATCCATGACACGCATATCAAAAGCCTCAGACATCAAGTGTTGTAAAATCGGACATCTTGATGAGGGATACCACTTGTTATTTGGTAAGACCCTCTTCTGGCACAACCACACCAAACACTGCAATGACAGGATCGGCCTTTATAAATATATGTTATATACCCTAGAAAGATGACCAAATAATAAGTTCCAGAAAGTGTTGTTTGTGATGTGAGGAACTGATGGCTAAGTGTCCCCTCTGCAGCTGAACATTTCAAACGTATAGGTGATATCTCTGGAGAAAATTTAGACAACCTACTTTGGGGAAAATGGTGTCTGTGAACAACAATTGTAATGAATGCAATTTGACCATGCAGAGTGTGTGCCTGCAATATTTAATACTATAAATTAATAAATACAAAAGCAAATAGCAGAACATCAATGCAAAGCCTTACTAAAATAAGTTTAGTTGGCATTAATACAGAAAAATTCGCTCCAACATAGTCAATAAGGACTGTTTGTATGTAGTATGTACTGTATACTATGTAAAAAGTATGTTAGTATGCTGAGGTACCACACTACTCACAGAAAAATAAGGGGCCAGAATTGTACCTTTTGGGGTACAACAGCTTGTCCCTGGAGCAGTACCCTTAAAAGGACATATTTTTTACCCCTAATAGGTACATATTAGTACCTTAAAGCCTCGTACACACCGGGACGATTATTGCGCTCGCTTATCCCCGACGTTTTTCGACGCGTCTTTTGTGTTCATACCCAAGTGATTTTCGCTGGCGATGAGCAGAGTGAACGTGCAAATTCACTCCCTGACATTAGATGGCGCTTAATGAAAAACAGAAATACCCCGGTACACATCGAATCTTATTTGAGCTGCAATTCCTCTCCATAACTCCCTCTTATCGAGATTTTTGTAGTCGCTGTCGCTTTTGTCATAAAGCCCTTTGTGTTCAGACACCAATGAGACCAGCATCTCTACATTCATCTTGCCTCGATGCATCTTCTTGGTCTACTTACTTCCTATTCGTCATTAGGTATCAATGTGTGCTCGGCAAGACCGTTTTGTGCTTGAGCACCACCAAGTCATGTTTTACTGTAACTTCAGCAGCTCCAGGCACGTGAACAAAAGCGGCAATCTCATTGGTCGGCCAGTTTTTAACGCGGCGCGTCAAACCCAAAAAAACGAGCCCGAGGCGTTTAAAAAAAAAATTAAGCTTTTACGCCTCACGCCTCGCGTTTTTCGGTGTGCACACTCACATTGGCGCCCTTTGTTTAGTCACGAGGCGTTAAACGTCGGCGATTATCGCGAGTGATATTCGTCCCGGTGTGAACAAGACTTAAGGGTACATTACTACCTATTAGGGGTAAAAAAAAGGTACAAATATATTCTTGTAAGGGTACTGCTCCAGGGACAAGCTTTGTACCCCAAAAGGTACACTTTTAAACCCCTTTTTTTCTGTGTGTACCATGTAAACTGGCCATAAGTTTTGCTTCTGCCAAACAGTAATAACTGCAGCAAAACACAGTTCTCTGAGGTTAGCATGTTTCACAGCTTGCTGCATTCATCACACAGGAAATGCAATGTTGTGACACATTTTTTTCTAATTTCCCAAAACTATGATGTTGGTTGTTGGTGGCTTAATTCAGTTTCATTTTTCTTTGATTCCTCAGCGTGTTCTGTCACATTTATAGTATGTATGTGAGGTGTGTCCAGGGTCTTGGAGATCTCAGGTTTGGGTTTGACTCTGTGGTTGCGATTGGCCCGACAGCAGCGCAAACGAAACACCAGCTGGAGGACGGGATGCAGGCAACAGCTGAGAGCTGCAATGAAGATGGTGCACATTTTAATCCTGAACTCTGCCTGACAGTTTTCATGCTCTGATGTTAATAAGATGATCCTTTGCACGTGGTAGGGTAGGAAGCAGAGTACAAACATTATGACTGAGGCCAGGATCTTCCTGCGAACCTTCAGACCTCCTCCTGGCCCAAATCCAGCGCCGACTAGACTTCCTCCCCTTACCTTCTGCAGATGGAAGACCAGCAGGCTATAGCTAACCAGCATCAAGCACAAAATGAAGAAGAATGCTGACACACCTAAGCAGTGGATAGTATTGAACTGATCTTTATAGCGAATGTAACTATTGACAACTTGGTCAAAGCAGGTCCCTTTAATTTGTAGGCTCAGTTTGACCCCCATGCTAGCGCACACAACGGTGAAGACAACCAACCAGGTAGAAAAGCAGAGGATCCAACAAGACCGTGTATGTTTAAAGATCTGAAATAAGGCGTAGCCTGGTTTTACCACTGTGGTATAGCGATTAATGCTGGTCCACAAAAGGAAACACATGTTGCAATAGAGGTTTATGTAGTAGCAAGAGAAAATGATCAGCTCTGCTGCATTGCAGGCTGGGGTTCCAGATTGCCAGTTGGTGTTTTCTTTGTAGTAGGCTATTCGGAAGAAAAAACTGCAGCACATCAGCAGGTCTGACATGATTATGTTCAAAGTGAAGATGATAGTGGGTGTCCTCTCTGATCTCCAAAGATCCACCAAGACTATTCCATTGGTTGGAAGGCCCAGGACAGCCAAAGCCAGATAGAGCCAAGGCAAGATGGTTTCATGGCTTTCTTCAGGTTTTATCATGCATGTGCTACTGAAATATAGAAAGAAAGAAATGAAAACAAGAAACTCACAGCTTCTCATCTTTGAATAGAAATAAGCTCATTTTTATCCCGACTCAGTTTAATCTTACTCAACAGTCTGCATATATATGTACACACACACTAAATTAATTTTTTGTGGGGACACTCCATATATGTAATGGTTTTTCTACTGTATAAACTGTATTTTCTATCCCTATACCCTAACCCTACACCTAAATACCCCTTACAGAAATTTTTCTGCTATTTCAGATTTTTCATTCTTTATGATTTAAAAGCTTTTGATTTATATACCCACAATTTACTGGTATTACTATACTTGTGGGAACATTTGGACCCCATAACGTAGTGAATACCAGGCACACACAGACACGGATGACAGGTCAAAAGTTTGGGATCATTAAGCTTTTTAATGTTTTTGAAAGAAGTCTCTTATGCTCACCAAATCTGCATTTGTTTAACTACCAAAAATCTAAAAAAAAATAATGAAATTTTGTATCATATATTATTGCGTATCATATATTATATGTGTATCAAATATTATTACAATACAAAAAGAAAATCGAATTTCACATTTTTCTATAATTAATTGCATATTAATATAATAATTTATTGTCAAATTGTCATAATTTGACATTGAATCTCCAAATTAATGTCGAAACACAATGAATATGATTTTAAATGTGTTTATTGGCATCTTTTTACTAAGTAGCCTATTATTAATGAAGACCAGTATCATTGATACCAATACTGTTATAGATGTCTCTAATACATGCATTTTCCCTCAATTTTAGCCATTAATTATAGTCATTCAACATTACAGTATAATTTAAAGCCATTATTTTTAGCATTCAATATAGGCATTGAAAAATATAACAGCAACTTTTAATTTAAGTTAACTTAAAACAGTCTTGACATAAACTAAATTGTATATGCATTAACTATAAATTAAATGTAGATGAATCTTTATTCAATCTACAGAAGTTCTCAGTGTGCTAACTGGTGGGTTGTCTGATGGAGCTTTCTGTGTGTGTGCCAGATGCCTGTGTTCACAGAGAGCTCCTCCACATACAGCACACCAGTACCAAATTAACTTCTCTTTTCATGCTTGATAGCATGTTCATATAGTCAACTGTAATGCTAGCCAAAGGATGTCAGAAAAAAAATTGATGCTGCATTAATTGTGTTAAATATTTGTAACGTTAAACTTAGAAAAATTAATTGCAAAATTAAAAACCTAACCAGTTTTTGCTTCTTAATATTATTGTGAAACATCATACTTAATTCAAAAGTTTGGGGTAAGAAGAAAAAAAAACTTTTATGAAGCAAGGCTGCAGTAAATTGAAGAAAATTACAGTTAAGACATTTATAGTGTTAAAGAACATTTCTGTTTCAAATGAATGCTGCTATTTTGGACTTTCTGTTCATCAAAGAATCCTGAAAAAACTGCTGTGACCTTAACAGCCCAATTGTTTGGTGTTTTAAGAACAACAGCCTTTATGATTATGATTGTGGACACCAAGCATGGCAAGATTGCATCAGCGAAAAAGAATAGTGGGTGAAAACTAAAAGTGAATGATAGGGACTAGGGATGTGCATCTCATGACTCAGGCCGATACGATACGCATCTCGATGCATAGCCAACGATACGATACATTAAAGATACATATGAAGCAGCTACCGATGCGATACGATTCACCCCTATTACGATGCAGTGCGATCCGATTCGATTCAACACAATACGATTCGATGCGATATGATGCAATGGAGAAAATATGATCACTTTTAATGCCTCGAGGCCTGTTTCGTAAAACAAGTTAACCAAATAAGCCAGGCTTATTTCAGGTATAGTCTGACGCATTGTCAAATGATTTGGTTCCATAAAGCAAATTTAACATAGGCCTAGATCAAGCTTAGTCACTGTGGCAACTTATGCTGCGAAACTAACCTGGTCTAAAGCAGGCTAACTGCCAGGCTAAGCTCCTCTACTGACCAATAGGAACATAATGATATTACCACTGTCTCA